ATCGTGTGTTATCTTCTCGTTAAATAGCGATTATATACTTCGCATAAAGAGTTGATAACTAAACTAAACTTTATAACTGTTGGTGTTTTTCAATCGCCACACAAAACAAAAAACATTATTTAATTGACAATAAAATGTTTCGTTTGATAGAGAATTGGCCGCAGTTTAGAGCAACGATTGTCAATATAAACATGGATTTGCATTCATTCGTCCGATCCATTCGTACCAATAATAATAATAACGGCTCCAAAACGTCGACCGCCAGTAGTAGTCAAACTCAACGCGAGTTTGTGGCCGAGTGTCACGCCGACCGACCCGCCAGACTCGACCGACTCCTCGAACAGGACTCAGTGCCGATGGAAGTGCAGGTCAGCAACTCGTGGTCGTTGGTCAACAAGAGTCCGCACATCAATATCCGCAACGAAGGTATGGTTGGAAAGCGCCGACCGGTGGCCAAATCGACGGACTGTATGCGCGGTCGTGTCGGCTATACTAACGGACTTCATGTGTGGACAATCAAATGGCCGGCCGACTGTCGGGGCACTCACGCTATGGTAGGCGTGGCCACAGAGGCCGCTCCCCTACACACCACAGGTCAGTCACCACAACGCATACCATACCTATGCCTCTACCGGTGTCTATAACCCTATCCTTTTCCACGCATTTATTCACCCGTATATTACGAGTGAATGATTTCATAACTATTTCTCTTCTTCACAACAATTATTATTTCATTCAATACTTAATTATGATTTCTGCAAAAGTTTTATAAAAACTTGTTTTCTTATTTTTGTTATAAACTTTTTTAAAACTTATTTTATTTGTTTTTCTGTCTGTTTTATATTCATTGTGTTATTAATGTATTGTCTAATCGTTAGGTTATTGTTCGCTCGTCGGGTCTAATGAAGAGTCGTGGGGTTGGGATTTGGTCCGCAACAAGTGTTACCATAACATGACTGAACAAACGTATCCCAATTGGTTGACGGGTAACGAGATCTTTGACATTCCGGACGAGTTGATGGTAGTGTTGGACATGGATTCGGGAACTCTCGGCTTCATCGTTGACCACATCTATTTGGGCGTCGCCTTCGACGGCCTGAAAGGCAAAAAGCTATTCCCTGTGATCAGCACCGTTTGGGGCAACGGCGAGATCGGCATCAAATACGAGTCCTGTCTGGAGCCGAACCCCCTTCTGCTGCGCGAGTGCTGTCGTCAAGTGATCCGCAAGACTGCGGGGAAGGAACGGATCAATCGGATCAGATCTGAGATAGTTTTGCCCAACAAATTGAAGAATTATATAATTCAGTGATAAATTTGTATTTTCATGAAAGACTGTGACCTAACTCTTGTAGACATACTGACAGACGGACTGATAATACAAGAAACTATTTGATGATCGCATTCACAATCACTATAATGTCTATTCATTGTGTCTGTGTTTGTATCGGAAGTCAACACTTTATTTATTTATAATCTCTTCTCTCATCAATTAAATCGACGATTATATCGTTGTTTTACGGAATATATTATACATTATATGTGTATCAAAACTAATCATTCGTTTTTCATTGGATTCTAATATAAATTATAAATATTTCTAATAATTAATAAAAAATTTCTATAAAAATAATACTCAAGTGATTTTGTAATTTTTTCTAAATAATTCTGTCAACCATTTCTTTAAGTTATAATTAATTTATTACTTTCTGTAAAAAATATTATAAATAAAACCACAACAATGAATATATGTTTTAATTTTAAATAATAACAATTATCAGGAAATAAATACAATGACTAACAACTAAAAATATTTAATTTTAAAAACAAAACATTGTTTTTCTTAATTTATAAATTTATATTGAAATGAAAAATAATTCATTAAAATTGGTAAACAATGATTGAAAACTATTTATAATAGGATAATAATATTTATATTATTGAATAAATTGGACTTTTTATAAATGGACAAAAATGTGTATTTATTTAATGCAGTAATTGTTTGGGGAAATAACTTTTCAAGAAAAACATTTAACCAGTTTAACAAATTTGATAATAATTTAATAACTTAACTGCAGTATAAGTTTTGGTAAACATGTTATACTTAATAGCTATTTGCCACCAGTGATTGAACGATCAATGGTAAACAAGTATCAAATAACCATCATTATTTGTTATTACATAAAAAATTAACTAGTTTTCTACCGTCTAACTTTTAAAAAATTCTATTAAAAAAAACTATCGGAATATTAATTATATGTTGTCTATATTTATGTCTATGAATGCCAATTAAAAAACACCGTTTAACCAATTATTACAATATATCCGTTGTAAACATGTTTATAAAATACAATAATACTTTATATGCATTACAAATGATGGTAAATCTATTCCAAGAATGTTTAAAAGTAGACAAACTAGATTTACAATTTTACTAGGTACATTATTTCTAGTTTTGATACAATCCACTGCGTGTCGCTACTTATATTACTCATTTGTTTCCCTGCCTTTTGGTAAACGTAATTAATGAATGAACTCGTCGTTAAACTGGACGTAATTTGTCGATTATTTCGGTGACGTTTTATCATAAAAATATCGTAGTATTGAAGCATTGACTGCAATGCCAGTGAATGTAATGCCGCTTTATTTTCCACAGTCTAATCCCGATAAACGTATTTTTGTGTTCATTTTTAATCTAGTTGAGTTTTAATTTGATTTTTAGATAAGTTTAGTTAGGTTATAAGTTCGTCTTATTTATGCATTGGCTTTTTGAGTATTTTTAAATATTCAAATTAGTAATATAAAAGTTTATAAACTTATTTATTAAACATTAAAATTTTACAATGTTAAATTTTTCAAATAAAATTAAAACATACCATTAAAGATTTATCAATTATATTATTCTACGTCGTTCTTATTGACCATGTCAAAATATAATTATAAGCTAAATGATGTAGACTCGTTGATTATAGTTTAATAAATTATTATTAAAAAATTATCAATATTGTGCATGTAATCTGATTTACAAAATATAAATTTACAAAATATAAATTGTATTATACATTCCTATTATTAGAAGCTATTATTAGCTATGATTAATTTAAACTGTATAAAATCACCTTGGCAATTCATTAAAACCGGCAGATAATGTTCACAGATTGCATGATGTAAACGTACATCTCAGCGAGAATGTGGTGTAGTTGTGCTGATAGAGGTGGTGGCAGTGTTAGTGTGAGTATGCAATGCATCGCTCGTATGGCAAAACCGTATGGCATTAGTGTATGTGTTGTGTTGTGAGCGCCCATTCACTGTCACCCGACCTCAAGGGGCACAACAGCCGACATCCAAACCGTATGTATTCA